TGTAACTAGTTACTTTTAAAAAATAACTTTGTTATCTTTGAAAATATTCAAATTTTATAATACATAGAATTAAAGCTAATATTTTTAATGAATTTTCTCTATATCTTTCTGTTAATTAATTTGATAAATGTATTACTTACTTGTAGATCTTATAAAGGATCCACTCTGTGTAATTAAGTGAAGCGTATAAATTAGGCATATTTAGATTTAACGTGTCTGTGGCGATTAATGTCATCACTTTAAAAGGCATATAAAATATTATAGGCCAGTAATTTATGTGCTCAACAAGACATCTGATTATGTGCTCCCATTCTGGTGACAATTCCTTAAAATTTGGAATGACCCAATATTGGAAAAGGTCATTCACTCGTTGTTTTATTTTCTCGAGGCTGCCACGGCAAAAGTTGTACCTGGATATATAATACAATTTATAATATCTTCAAAGTTTCGATATTATATATATAGATAATGTAACATATTATGTAACATATTACGTGTGTACATATATTGCTGAAATTACGTAACCCTGATAAAAAAAAAATTGATAGAAAACGATAGAAACCGATACAATTTGTAAAGAATTTTATCGTTTTTTATCGTAGCCTATATAAACGTTTACGTTTTAGATTCTGAAAGAAATTTTATCGTTTTCTTTCGTTCTTTGTTGAAAACGGATTCAATCATTCTGCAGTAAAAAATTTTGTGTTAAATTTAACACATTTTACATGTCCCAATTTATCCACTCAAATTTTCGTGTTAATTTAACATAAAGCAAATATGTAAAAATATAACAAACATAATATGTACAAAATTAACATAAAAATTTAACATTTAGACGCTTTCAGAAATCAAAGTTTATGTTAAATTGACATCTGTATAATGTTACATGTAATTAAGATAAGATGTTATTTTAACATTTAAGAAAAGTAGGGGAGACCGGGGCTAAGCCGACACTATTTTTTCAAAGGCAATTTTTAATATTTAATTAAAATTTTTAGGCAAATTCTCAATGATATATATTTAAAGAGTGTTTCTTCGGGTACAAAATTGATTCAGGAAGTTTTGCTGTACGTCGCTTTGTTTTGCCGCCAGGAAAGGAAAAGTGACGCGAAAACAAATTTTCGAATTGAAAAATGACGGGGCGAACTCGACACCCCGCCGGAGCAAACTCAACACTTTGTTTGATCGACACAATTTGATCTGGAACTCATTTTTTTATTGTTTAAAAATAAAAATACATTGTTTATCAAATAAAAAGACATTGTGTATTAGAAACAAAAAGTCGGAATTAAGTAAACAATTATTTAAAATAATGAGAAAAAAAAAGATTAAACTTTTAATTATCTTTTTCTGAACTGTCTGAAAAAACAATTTATACACGTAAACTCGCGATCAGATGTGCGCACACATTCGTCATGAGCCATACGGTTGCATAAGATGCATTGTTTGTTATTAGAAGCTAATGAAATGTTTTCCGAACACACGCAACAGATGTTCCTTAAATCGTCATCGGAATCGGACGAAACAGTGACCTTTTTTGCGATAATGTCACTTTAGGTTAGTGTCGTCTTTGCCCCGGTGGTGTCGTGTCGACTTAGCCCCGAACGTCGTTTTTTACTTTTGTTACTCCAAAAATATATAAATTTTGAAAATATGCAAAAATTATTATCGGATTCGTATAAAGCATCGAATTTCCCATCAAAATCACTTAGCGGTAGATTCGCAAGAGTAAAGCTCGATGAAAACGTAGACATTTTCGAGAGATCAGAAAAATTACTTTTCACTATCAAAAACACTTATGTCGCGTTAAAAATTACACTATAACTCAGAATGTTACCAAATTCCGTTGATAATACTGGCACATAAAGACGCATTTACAGTAGCAAAGGCAAGTTTCTACGATAGATTTAAATTGGCAAAAAGCCTAGTGTCAAGTTTGCCCCGCTGTCGGCTTAGCCCCGGTCTCCCCTATATATTTTTATTTTTGATTTTTTTTTTATGAATAACATAAGAATTATGTCAATTTAACACATAGTAACTGTTATAAAAAGGAAGATAACACAATTTATCTGTTCACTTTAACATATAAAATATATCACCAAGAATATACACTTACATATAAATTGTGTTATTTTAACTCTTAAAAATGGTTAATATTAATTTAACATGGAAAAGTTAAGTAACACAACAACGATATGTTAAATTAACATACAACTGTGTCAGAAATTTAACACAAAACTTTCTACACAGGAAAATTTTAACACAAATACAAAATGTTTTTTACTGTGTTGGAATACGATAGATTTCTATCATTTTGTTGGAATTTATCGAGAAGAAATGATTGAAAATCTTTCATAATCAATTGTGTATTTATAAAACTTGATCCGTTCACTCGTTATCGAGATCTCAACATCTCGAGTACTCGCAAATCGTCGCGTCGCGTAAAAGAGTCACGGTCGGTCTCGCTCCGCGTGTACTTGGCGCGAGACACTACCGTGCCTCTTGATAATGGAAATTCTAAGTTTTCTATTGTACAAAAAAACCTATAATTATTATTAATCACGCATCTCAACGATAGATGATTTAAAATTTAAAATGTTTTTTATTGTACAACTACAACAAACAATGAGAGAACGCGACCGCGAGCGCTGGTAACGCGGACTGCTTAATATCCTTCGCTGCAGGTCAACTTAAGTGATCCTATTTCAGATACCATACAGTGCAGAAAACATTTACATTTTAAATAATTTTAATTAAATATAAAATACTTTAATAACGTAATAAATTAGGATAATTACGACAGGAAACGATAAGAGACTCATCATTCATCATCAATTTACGATAGATTTTGTATACTCACAGTCACAGTTATTAGTTACGAAAAGAAATGATAAGAAGCGATAACATATTCATAGGATACTTACGACAGGAATACAGGAAACGCTATAAAGAGAATCAATCGTACAGTTACGAAATTCTTTTGTTAACTTCCGATTCATAACTATGATTAAAAATAATGCAATTGTTTTCTATCGTTTCCTATCGATTTTTTTTTATTAGGGAGTATTTGAAATATTGTTTGTATTAGGCTAGGGAGAAAAGTAATCCGGGTCACGGATATATGGCAAATACAACGTACGATAATAATTTTTGTTAATAATTTTTGTTTTGTTTCTTTGAGGTTGCCTATTCTACATTAAAATTACTGCAAGGCAAATCTTCCTGTCTATCATATACGTGTTTATTTCGATTTGATAAAGATTGCCACGTGTACTGCTGATTGTGAGATCAATAGTCAACACCATAGGTCTGGACGCAATATTGCTCGAAAAACGGTCGTTATATGTCTGAAAACCGATTTAACCCTTAAATGCCCCGTGGGGTCCAGCGGACCCCAGACCCTTTACAATGATATATTTGCAAATGTTTTTGCCAAATATGGAGCTCATGCTCCCATTGATGATAGTTGAGTGATTGACCTACCCGTTGTACACTTATAGCAGTACTCAGTTTATTTAATTTTTTATACTATGTTGAAATTGAAATTTTAACAATATAAGCATTTTATTCTCTTTTCTAAGCCTTGAACGACATTGAAAAAAAATTTCCTAACTAAAGATCAAAAAATCAATGAGTAAGAAGACATTTTTCATGCTGGGGTCTTTTAGACCCCTCATGTCATTTACGAGATTCTTGAGAGGTGTGGCATTTAAGGGTTAAGGTTTGCCTTAAACCATCTTTCTACGCGATAACGTTCAGCTTCATATCGTTGCAACCACCATGAACACCTTTATAGACTTGAGCTGGAAAATTCTTCCGCACCCTGCCCACTCACCAGATATTGCGTCTTCAGATCATTACCTATTTCTATCGATGCAGCACGGCTTGAGAGGACAACGCTTTCGAAATGCTGCCGAAATCAAGAAATGAATCAAAGAATTCTTCGCGATCAAAGAGCTGGCTTATGTTATCGGCACGAAATCTTTCTGCTTGAAAGATGGCAGAAAGTAATTATAGATTCGAACGGCAATTAGTTTAATTTAAAAAAAGAACGTTGCAACTATTTTTTCTTAATAGATATTTTACACGAAAAAATCCAGATTACTTTCTCCCCAACCTAATATACATGTGATTATAACACAGTACACAGTATATATTATAATTGTACTATACATACTCATCTTCCATTCCAAGAAAATATCCATAACATTTCCACATATAGCAGAAAGCCTCCAAGTCTTCGTCGGTCGGGTCGTGTATTCCAATATTTTGTGGATAGAGCAAAGGTGCAACTACGAAACAGCACTGAGCAAATGAGAAGTCGGCGTTATTTATACCTTTCGGTTTGTATGGTGATTTGTTGAGGATTGTATGACGCTGTCCAAATTTCTCAGGTGAAGAAATTGCAGCGAAATCCTTCAGAAGCAATTCACGATCTAGACACCATGGATTGGCGAATGTGCACGCAGCAGCAATTTGCTCATTATCCATCTGACGCACCTTTCTCCTTATCGCCACATGCTTACCACGTACTACTTGCATATTTTTATATGCTTCTGTTCCTTTAATCCACGGTTCTCCATCATACCAGCTGAACATCGATTTTACAGACGCTATGTACCTTTGAAATGTATAAAATTTATTTATGAAAATGTATAAAGTACTTATTACTTATATTTCTGGCAAAAAATTTCTCATATTTTTCTCATATTTTCACATATTTCTCATATTTTCTCAGAAATTTTGCAAGGATTCGAACTTATAAAAAATTCTGAAAAAATACCTATCCCAGTTAGAAAGGTGACGTTAATTTGACGTTGAAGAGGTTGACAGCTGGTTAAGTTGAATTGATCGACGTATTCGACGTCGAATCATTGTTAATCGACGAACTTTTTGACTGATTATATATGAAATTTTTTAAATACTTTCAGAAATAATTGGATAAAGATTTTCGGAATATTTCAGTACCCGTATGTATGAAAATTTATAATAAATTTTACAGATTTTCTCATATTTATTCAGATTTCTACAAAAATATATTAACGAAAAATATATTATTTTTATTTTGAGGGAGATTCCAGGTTCGAATCCTGGCTGAGGTAACATTTTTTGCAATAAATTCTTTACAGTTTTTAAGTAATTAAATAGCGTCGATTTAATTGTGGGAAGGGAAGGGTGTTTAATGTTCCAACAATAGCTGCGTTTCAAGTCCGGCTGTGATTGGCGCGCAGTAAAAAGTTGGAATATAGATGTATTATTAATAATATATATATATGGAAAAAATTAATATTGAGCTGCCTAAGATCTAAGCTTAGACCGAAAATGGCTTGTATCTTATTCGATTATTTTTATTTTATCTGATTGTGAGTTTTTCTGAAAACGTTCCAATTCGTATAAAAAAATCTAGAAAATTTAGTATTCTGAGAAAATTTGAAAATTTTTATAGAAATTCTAATTAATTAATAACATGAAAAATTTTAAGATAATTTTCCACCAGGAATGTTTATATATAAATACAATATTTTAGAAAGATATTTACTTTCCGAATCCTAAATACGGCGTATGGCTATGTTCTCCCAAAATAATTGGCCCTAGTTCTCCTTGAAATGTATAAATATACATCAGGCCCATTATTTTGGATAAGATTATCGCGGTGTAATTTTTCTGGACAAATTTTTGTCCCCTGCGATATTTATCCATATCCATCCATTCAGGTAACTTTTCCAAGGTTCGGTCATCATTTAATTGGCAAAAGAACGCTGGAATAACGCTGTGTAAAGACTGCGGCATGTTTGGAAAAAATTCTGCTATGTTTCTTTTTATCCAGTCGCATTGCTTTTTTACGGTCCAGGCATCGAAATTATTTGGAAATTTATTTTGAGAATTTACTCCGAATACGTCTTTAAATATCATTACAAGTCCATATTCGTCCAAGTTTTTCGAACTAGATTTTATATCGTGCTGAATATTATTGGTATTCATCATGTTTTATGGATAACGCAACTGTAACACAAGAACAAAACATAAATTTATTGTAAACTTGTAAGTTTGATTATTATATTGTTTTTTAAAGTACAGAGAGAGAGAGAGAGAGAGAGAGAAATAATATTCTTGATTTGAAAATATCTTTAGTTTCAAGTTCCAACAACGATAAAAGTATCTTTATTTTACAATTTTATAATATTAAATAACGCAACAGATATTTTTTTATATAAAAAAAATGTAAAAATAAATAAATTTTTGAAAAAATTATTTGTTGCGGTTAAATATACACATACACGTAGGTGTTCTTATTATAAAACTTTTCACATATGTAGAAAGGGTAAAAAGATAAATTTAAAAATTTTTTGTTGCTGCTTAAAAACGGTTCTAAAGGGTTCTAAAGGTTCTAAAGGTTGAAATCACCCTTTATATGCTTTATATGTAGAGCGGCTTTTTGCTTTTCTCGATATATTTCGGAAAGTATTCGAGATATCAAAAAATGTTTCAAACAGTTTGTTGCGTCGCAAATAAGCGAAAGTCTGCACGACGTAGGCCATAAGAAATAAATACATAAAAAAGGGTCAGCGACTCATTGTCAGACACACGCACACTCATATATTTACACAACCACGAGGCGGCATAACTTCAGGGGCCCTATTCTTGAATCGTTTTCATGAAACTCGCATGCGAAATTCAATGCTTTTCAAATAGAAAGTCGTATACGAAAATCATTAGGGCAGGCTCGAGAATACGGTCCCAGGCGTCTTCGGTGCCTGTGATATCGGATCAGTGGCTTCTGCTATCTCCGTCTTCTTTCCACCAAAACTAGTTATCGTGATTTGACAAATAAATTGATTGGTGGATACGAGCGAATCAGCGGGCGGATCTAGGATCCACCAATCGAACGAATCTTGCATTTTCGTTAACAAATAGCGGGAGTTGTAGCTACCGCGACAAGTCAATCAGTCTGCATTAGACTCCAAAGCTTCGTGAAGAATACTTAAATACAAAAAATCATTTCTTAAAGATGCGAGTTAGTAGCGCATCTAACGTATTGAATTATGATGTTAGCTCAGCATTAAATTTTTTAGCTGAAGAAAAAACAAAGTTTTATATAAGTCTACGTCGTGGTTTGTAAAATATATTGTTCATTGGTTTCAAATAATGACTGCGCGCCATCCTTTCTTTGCTTTGGAAGAAAAAAAATATAAAGGAGTATAATAAAACCATAACATTTCTCAAAAAAGCTGTAACTTTTTTTTCTGAATTAAAAGTTGGAAAGAATCAAAGTTGGAAACCATTTCAAACATCAGCTGTGATATCCACTAAGTCATATATTCAAGTATCAGAATATTTACTGAATAAGGGTTTTGATTTTGTTATGAGTTCGAGATTCAGCCAAGATTGCTTAGAAAATGTTTTTTGCATTGTACGGCAAAAACATCCTACACCAAATTTCATTCAATTTAAATGATTTAAAGCTAATCACAAAATCACAATATATGGCAAATGTAAGCCACGGCAATTATGAGGAAGATGATCGAACTTTTTTATCAGAGTTTTTAGAAATTTTAGAAAAAAGAAATACAAAAAAGGCTAGAACTAATGATGAAAAGAAGGAAGAAGAAGAGGACGGCAATAAGAAAAATAACTGTAATATTATTAATAATAATAATATTAATGGTAATTATAATAAGCATAATAACAATAGTAATAATAATAACACAAATTTAAATAGTAATCAAAGTAAAAGTATTATTATACAAGATTCTACACCAACTATCAATGTAACAATTTAACTTAACAATATTGAACAAAATATTTTATGTTATATATATTACAATGCATCGTAACAAGAGAAAAATATTGTGCAATATGCGTACAAGCAGTGGGATAAAAAAAAGTACAAGATATATTTATGCCAAATTAACACGTTTAAAACGTATTAGCAACGCCGAGTCATTATATTTTATTAATAAAATTTCATTTAAATTTTTTCTAGCAATGGAACAAATTTTTAGAAGCCACTTGCAGAGAGTCTTATCACTTATCAGATTCAACTCTAAATGCTAAACAATACTTTATATCTCAAATTCAGAAACTCTCTTACTTTATTCCTAATTGTCACAACTTAAAAAATAAATTGATTGTTAGATACTGTCTGTTTAAATTAAGATCATCTTTAATAAATATAATTTTTTAAATAAACCAAAGACTGTGAACGTGCAATCTAGTAAAACAATGGCAATGCATATTTATATTAAATAAGTAATGTATACAAAAAATTTGATTTTTCTTAATTTAATATTCTTCGTTTTTGCTAATATTCTAATTCTAATTTTATAAAAAATTATTTTTTATTTTTATATTACAATAAATAAATAATGTATACAATTTGATTTTTCTTAATTTAATATTCTTCGTTTTTGTTAATATTCTAATTTTATAAAAAATTATTTTTGTTAAAAAATTGATAATCTTAATCGTATAATATAATTAAATTGTCATTCATTAAATTGTTATTTTTCTTTTTCTTTTTACATATAATTTTTCTCTTTTGATAATTCAGAAGACAGCTGCTTAATTTTTTTTTAATTTTAATTAGCCTTCGGTTAGTGAACATCAAAATTAAATTAGTTTATAACGAAAAATGGTGCAATTCGAAAAAAATTAAAAATCTTTTTTGATATTTTTGTCTGACATATTTAATGCAGTATTTTTTATACCTGCATGTTTTATTTATTATTAATATTATTTATTAATAACAGGTATTCAATTTTCATTAATCAAATTTTTTGTATTTTTAGACAAAATTATCACAAGAACGTAAGTATTTGTTATAGCTGCATGTTTCATTTATTATTAATAATATTTAATTTTTATTAATTTATTTTTATTGTTATTTTCAAGCAAAAATATCCCAAGAACGTGTAAATCAGATTCCGGCCACCGATCAGCTGTTTTGAAATATCATTTGCTCCCTTTGTCCCGGGGTTTGCCTCGCGCACCGAGTCCCCGAGACAAAGAAGCGAGTAAATATAGGCCACAATGGGACTCTGTTTTTCTGCCCTTCAAGTGTATACCAGGAAATATACGGCTATTTCTTCGAAGGAATCTATGCTTACACAGAATTTAGCCGAGTTTACACTGAAAGGCAGAGAAACCGAAATTATTTAAAAGTCGCGATTTTCTTTGACTCGCGATATTGATACTCTGACGCTGGTTTTTGTTTGGTCGCGAACAATTGTTCTATCGAGTTTGAGGTATGGTTGTGAATGTAACTAATCAAATTTTATATTAAAAGAAATTATACTTACAAATTAGTTCAAAACTGATTTTGAAATCTCTAATTACGATCTCTTCAAATCCTCGATTCAGTGGATGGTATTTGGTGGACTGAGTACGCCGTTACATTTATTGCCTCCTTTTATAGTTGTTGTAATAATCCCCTCTTTTCCATTATATTTTCTGTGGAAGGTGTAATCGTATAACCTTATTCAACACCTCTCTGTAATTCCAAGGTAGCACATATTAGTTTCATATACGTCTTTTGAACGTAGAGGAAAGTCCCCTATTATGAGATACAACATCTATTTTGCGTGATTGCCCGAAGTTTATGGGCAGAATTGAAAAATGTAGTAGGCGAGTGCACGCACGATCAAATAATGAATTTTCCACTAAATAGGTTTTACTCTAGATGGAACCAACAGATAGAACCTATTAGTTTAGCAGAAACCTCGCTATCGCATATTAGGAGCTTATCTCATAATAGGGGACTTTCCTCTAGACATATTCCAGCCGCATATAATATATGACAAAAATGCAAGGGTTTCTAAAAGTTTTTTTTTGTTAAATACAAAAAACAAATTTTTTTTATTGTGATTTTTTTATAGTAGGGAAGGGACAAACGTAACATTTTGCTAATTTGAATTAATATCTTCGATTTACTTGTTTATATACATATATATATATACATATATATATATATATATATATATATATATATATATATATATATGTATATATACTTTTTCTCTTTCATAAGGTAAATACATTCTTTACTTACATTATGGCTACGGTCAACGCTACAAATGCTTTGGAGCGTTCTTCTTCTCTTTCTTTCTTCATTGAAAGAAAAGAGAAGAGGAATGCTTCGAAGCATTTGTAGCGTCACGTTGACCGTAGCCTATGGTATATGAATAAAATTCATTCACATTTTATAATTACTTAGAAAAATCAAGTTTTATGAAGATCGAATTTGTTACGATTGTCCCTACCCCTAGGGCTGGTTGTAACAGAGTTCAAGGCTGATTTTAATAAGGTAAAATAAAATAAAAACAAACATATAATCAATGTAGCACAAAACGTTTTATTTAAAAAAATTTTTTTTTAAATAGTTCTAGACATTTTAAATTATTTTAAACAGACGTTGCTAAACCTTTATTTGTTTTTTTTGTATGTTTGGCATTTTAAAATAATAATAAGAAAATTTTTATTTTAAAAATACATGTATTATACGCGAAATAGTGTCATTATAAAAAAGAGCACACCGTGCCTTGTCTCGCCCGGCGAGTGTTCGGCCGGGCGGCATCCGGCTGATGCTCGCCGGGAATGCGTTTCGGAGCGCATCGTTACAAAATAAATAAAAATCAACACCAATAACAAATATTACTTTCGAGTCAAAAGTAACAGATTGATACTTTTGTCTTAACCTATATTTTTGCCACAATTGGTTAAATACTCATTATTATAAAATAAACTAACCTCTAACTAAAGAAATAGTGATTTATTTATAATAAACAATAAATAAACGGGTAAACTAAATTTCTAATGATTTGAAGTCGGCACTAAATTAATAATACTTTTAAGAATTTTTTTCAATTTTTGAAGTTGGCACTAAATTAATTTAATAATTATTAATTTGGCGCCGACTTAAAAAAATTGAAAAGAATTCTTAAAAGTATTATTTCATATTTTTTAGAGTTTCTTTTATTTTTTATTTTTTTTTAATTTTTTCATGCTTTTTAGAGCTTTTTTGTTCAAACGTTTTTTAATATTTCTTTACGGTTATAAAACTATATGTACGTTCAAAAAACATACATGAAACTAATATGTGCTACCTGGGAAAAGTTTTCCTTAGGTGCGGCGTATATATCGCGCGGAGTTACTCTAAAGGCACATAATAAAGTAATTGCGCGTTAATCCTTGTGCGACGTAAATAGAGGAATTATCTTAATATAAAAACGTATTGCATCGAATAGTCAAGGATTATGATTAATAATCGCTGATTTTTTATATGCCATAACTATTGTTTTCCGTCACGCCGCGCCTGTCAATTTAATGATATTCATCTAAACGTTCTAATATACTCTAATATATTCATTTTAAACATATTAGATACGCAGATTTTATATAACCACAGACGCGCGCTTGGCGCGCGCTATTTATAATAGCTTTAAAAATATACAATGACAGCTGCAAATGAAGTAAGCGCAGCGAGAGAACCAACCGACATCGCGGAAAAGCGATAACAATAAATTTCGATAGATTCGAGTATCGACTTTACATTTCTTTTTTAGATATGGATGGATGGATGGATGGATTATGCTATTACTATTACACTATTAATATATGATTGGCCATATATGGTCAGATATGGAAATTGGCCAGATCTGAGGATATGTGATCTGGTATTATTGTATATGTTAATATCTGATCAGGTATGATCAGATACGAACTGACACAGTTCAATCTGGACATATATATTTAAGTAAGTTTCAGAACATTGTTATATATTTTCAAAAGTTATTTTTTAAGTGTGCCACGTACTTTATTATAAAAGTGGACTCCACGATGACCACGATACAACTGATACAAAAATTGTGCCGCTTCATAGCGCGAGACAGTGTCGTGTCTTTTGATACCATTCTTATAACACTGTTGGTCAAATTTTAAGTACGAGAAACAGATCCCATCGAATGCCATCTATCAGATACTTTGAGATGCAATATCTGATCTGATCATATATAATCTTATATGACTATATAAGTTCATATATGATTTTTAGTTTAAATTATAAGATATTATGTTTGCAAAATAATACGATTAATATATTTATTTATAAGAACTATAATATATATTATATAACAGTTTTTTCACAAAAGTAAAATTTCATTGTTTATAAAAATATTTGATAAAAATTAATATGTCAATTAAAAAAGATTAAGTGTCTTATGCAAAATTAGAAAAAAAGAAAAATTTAAAATAACACAAGCAATGAGATGCCGTTTTTGGTCGAAGTGGATCTGGGTGCTTAATAATATTTCACAATATCAATTTATTAAATATATTTTTCAGTTTTTTAAACTGCGTGCCAATATGGACTTTATCGGACTTAAAACACATATACATATGAATTTTTTTGCTTGTTTTTGGGTCCCGAATCACCTCCCGAAGTGGAGTAGGCGATTTTTCGGACACCCTGTATATATATAATTGGCTTTATAATGTCGGCTTTACAGGTTTATTCATTACATAGTATCTCCGACAGCTCCTGCAAGTTTCATCAAAATCGGCGAAAAGCAGCGCGTAGTGTTCCTTTGTTATAGTAATATCGAGTGGTGATAGCATAAGCATAGCCATAGTGAACATAAAAGTTCGGTCACTTGATCTGGGTGAGTCACATTTTTTTATGTACCTAGGTACTTGGTATCGCGGTAGGTACTACCGTACCGCTTGAATCAAACGGCTTGATCCTTTAACGATTCTATCTGATTTTAGAGTTTTACACGGTTATTTATATTTAGCTGTAAACATATTCACTCAAAATGTGCGTGAATAATAAATATTTGTAGGTGACATAAGCACAAAATTCATAAAAATGCAAATAGGTGCGGAACAAACATGAAGCATGAATGTTTTGTATTTGTATACTTGTCCTATTGGAGCATAAATATTATACTGAAAGATGAATTTGGGTGGACATGCAAAGTTTCGAAAAATCAAAATCACGAAAATTGAAAACTACGACAATGTGCCGAAAAGTCATAATCTCAAAATCTTAGAAATGAGACAATGTCTTGAAAAGTCATAATCTTGAAATATGAAAAATGGGACAATGTATCCGGAAAAATTATAGACCAAAGTGAACATATCGAAATAGCACCGTATCTCGAAATTCAAAAGATAGAGAGTAGACAAAGTATTTCAGAATTGTATCGACAATTTTTTCAGAAATGTTAAAATTCCACAAGTCAATTGCTATATTTCGATACATTACAATTCTTACAATAAAAAGAAAAGGGAATTTATTTAGTATAAGGTAGGTAGTCCAACAATGAACCAGTAGTACACTACAAACCATTGCGATATTTCGTAAATGTGACATTGCTGTTGATATTCAACGACTCGCATTTAAATTCCTTTTCGGCTTCTCAATTAGTTAGCAGATCGCGCGAAAAATGACTGTTTGAGGCCACATTTTGGAAATTTTGGGTGACAAGCTAAATCTTTTTCGTAAGTTTTACGTATTTTTCATGTTTTTGTAGTTATATCTATTATTTTTTTTATTATTATATAGTTTTGTATGTGTATATGGCTTTATAATTCTGTATAAGCAACTTTTTTCTATTGCATTATTTTACCATATTTGAAAGATAGAACATTTTTTAAATTTAAAAGTTGAATGGTTTTAAGAGTACCTATTTTAAAACAACAAGAAAAAATTTTTATATTACTATATTTTTCGAAATATCCCGATCACTTAGTATTTTTTATCAATATTTTAAATTTTTTATCATTAAATCGAAGATAATTTTATTATAAATTCAATCATATATAATAAAGTTATATTTTGAAGAACAATATTCAAAAATTAATCACAAACCCTTTGGTACACAATATTCGTTTCCGTTCATATGCTCTATTCTTCATGCAACACGTTCTGTTCACATCTTCCCGTAATAGAAGATGATGATGACAAATACATTTCGAGGACATTTTATATTTTGTTCGCGCTCGGGATGTGTGCGTGAAGGAATATTACAGCGAGTCGGGAATTAAGTTTAAATTCAGTCTATTAGCAACAGCTCGATTTATTATAAGTCCAGAATTACAGTTCTCCTCAATGTTAATTCGTTCGCATATCCGCGCGCTCGCAAGTCCAAGAGTCGAATTTCTTTGTCTCCGGAGCCGGCTTCGTAGGATCTCTCTCTCTCTTTTTTTTCTCTCTCTCTCTCTCTCTTCAAGAACATCGTATCCTGGAAGACTTCTCTGGAAAGATTTCAAACTTTCTTCGAGAAAGATTTTTCCGCGTTATAAATCTCAGCTGTGGTCACCCCATCGATCATTCCTCTGCATCTTTTACTGTGACCGCATGAGCATCGGATGCGCTTAATCTACATTGTATGCGTTTGATCGCGTCGCGGAAGAAGTCGACCTTGTATAATCGCGATTTTACAAATTAAATAGTTAGGGGCATTATCTCTATTATTGTCGGATTTATCTT